TACTTGCGTTCTTTGATACTCCCTCCGTCCGGAAATACTTGTCATTGTTCAATATTAAGTATTTCCGGATGGAGGGAGTATATCGGAAAGACTTTGATTCGTCTTTTTATGAGTTTTGAAGAAGTAATGTCTCAACTTACTTCCTGACAAAGACGGTAAATAACCAGGCTGTTGTGAATAGGACAGGTATTTCTAAATCAAAGCAGAATAATTATTAAAATTGATATGCTTCTACACAAGGATGACAGCCCACTAGTAGAAAAGGGGGCATTGGTCCAGGCCGGGTCAGCCCATTAGTCCCGGTTCAATCCAGAATCGGGACCAATGGGGGCATTGGACCCGGTTCGTGAGCCTCGGGGGCCGGCCGGGCCACGTGGGCCATTGGTCCCGGTTTGTCTGGACCTTTTGGTCCCGGTTGGTGGGACGAACCGGGACCAATGTGTCTTGCTCCTGGCCCACCACCATTGGTCCCTGTTAGTGGCATGAACCGGGACCAAAGGTTTCCCTTTAGTCTCGGTTCATACCACCAACCGGGACTAAAGTGTTGGTCCTCGTTGCGGCCAGAGTTTAGTCCCACCTCGCTAACCAAAGGGGGCTCACACCGGTTTATAAATCCCTCCCTCTCTGTCTTGTTGAGCTCCTCTCCGGTTTATAAACCCCTTCCTCTCTGTCTTGTTGAGCTCCTCTCAAAATGAAAATAGATGCCCTTATACAGGAAATTTGACCTAAATTCATACTGAATTTCTCTGAAGTTAGTACAAATTTATTATGAATTTAGGTTGAATTTTCTCTATAAGCGCATCTATTCTCATTTCTGAGTAGTTTTTTATATAGTTTTTTTTCTTTTCTGCTATATTTATTTTTATTTATTTATTTTTGAGTTGTAATAAGTCATTAAAAATAAAAAAGATTTTAGTAAAGTTAATCACAACTATTTTTTCTTCTATTTATTTCTGAGTAGTTTTTTATATAGTTTTTTTTCTTTTCTGCTATATTTATTTTTTCTATTTATTTCTATGTGGTAATAAGTCATTAAAAATAAAAAAGAGGCGCAATGCTAGTTAATACGCTTCAAGCCTTTCGGAATAGTGTAAACTGCACTGCACATAGCTCCGTGCAGTCTACCATATTCCTCAAGGCTTGAAGTGAACCAACGTGCAGGTGAGCATTGAGCCTCTTCTTCATCGTCTTTGCACTCAGGGCTTATAAACAGCTGCGAGTGCCTCTCGCTTGGCGAGGTGGGACTAAAAAAACAGTTGTAGAAAGAATCAACTAAAAAACAGCTGCAGAAAATAAATAAGTAATTAGACGGATCCATTGGTACCGGTTGGTGGCTCCAAACGGGACCAATACCCCTCTTTAGTCCCGGCACATAATGCTTTAATGTCTTATGGTTCGGCCCTCGTGATACCATGCCAACTTTCAACTTTTAACTTTTTCAGAGTTCATTTGAAATGCTTTAATGCAGAAAACAAAAGAAAATAAATAATACAGAAAACAAAACAGAAAAACTGGAAAAAAATAAAGCAAAAAGAAAACAAAAAAAGTGTATTCAAATTTGAAAACTAATGGCACTAACAGAAAGTTTATAATTTTTCTAAAACTAAAAGCAAAAAAGACCTAAAAAATAAAGCAAAAAAACAAAAGAAAATAAATAATGCAGAAAACAAAACAAAAAATCTGGGACAAAAATAAAAATAGGAACAATAAGTATTTTGTTGTAAGTAGAAACAAAATAAAATAAATAAAGCACGAAACAAAAAAAATAAAAAAAAAAGTGTTTTCAAGTAAAGTTGTACAATGCTCAGAGTGTAACCCATTTTGGTTGCAAAAACTGAGAATCACTTTGCAAGATGTATGGTTTTGATGAGGCTATGCTTGTCACCATGGATCTTGGTGATCCTACAATCGCGCAAGAGAGACCTTCGATTTTCGTCCTTGTGGATACACCTCCAATTCTTCTCCCACGTGAGCTTAACATAATTATTAAGTAATTTATATTGTTTATTTCAAAATAGTTGACAACTTATTTCATTGACAGCTTATTTTCATTCTTCAAAGAATGTGCGGAAGATGGTAGACAGAACCTACTACACCGAAGGCTCCGAACTAACTTATCAGGAGAAAAATCATCTGGTCGCATTTTGTACTGATCTTGAGAATTACAATATCTACAATCAAACTCCTCAACATTATGGTCAATACGTGCCACTAGTGCACGTGTTAAACTACGGTAACTACCATGGAGATACCCTGGTAAGATTTTTTACTATTACGACATCCGTGCATCTTTTTGCACACTTCTAAAACTAGTACATCATTGCTAACTACGAAGTTATTACTATGTTTTTCAACAGATAATCCCGAATGATTGTGTGCCTCATCTGATGTATACACACGGTAGCCTTCATGTTTTGAATATACAACCAGGTCTTTCTACGAATCTCAACTGTCCATACCGGGTTTCTAAAAGAAGTGGAGACATGACAATCAAAGAATGGAAAAAATGTATGGACAGTCGTAAAGAGCTTCTTGGAAGCAACAATCAGCGAAGGGCAAAAATTGAAGACAGGATGATCGCCATTCTTCATAATGGAGAGTCAGGGTCTATATTGTTTTATACTATTTTACCTTAAGGGTGTTTAAGTCATGTCCTACCTGATACTGATGATCATGTGCTAAGAACAATTATGTAGAGTTGGGTTCGATGACTATGAGGATGATGATCGTATGACTTATTATTAATAACGAGTAGAAGTTGTATGATGATGCATGATTAGTAGGACTTGTTATTATATATGATGATGTATGATGCGAGCATGCATGAGTTATTATATCAGCGGGTGAAATGAACATATATAGCAGCAGTGTTGGTAAACCAAGGACGAAGATATAAGAGAGGACACTTCTCTCTATTAGCTAGCTAATAACAACCTAAAAATAACTCCCAAATCCCTAAAACAACCACTTTTTTAAAAAAACATGGACAACCAACCGAGACCAAAGGCCCTCTGACTGGGCTCGGCGCACAGGGCCACGTGGAGGCACATTGGTCCCAGTTCGTGTTTGAACCGGGACTAATGGGTGAAGGTATTAGTAACGACCCATTAGTCCCGGTTCATGAACCGGGACTAAAGGCCCTTACGAATCGGGACTATTAGGTGTTTTTCTATTAGTGGCCTTTGCTTTAAGATAGACAAACTTTTACATAAGTGCCCTGCAAAATTTTTTTTTTACATAAGTGATGCGATGAAGCAAGACATGGACACTATATAACTGGCACTACATGCTTAGCATCCTAAGCTCCCATATTATATATTTTGTTGAAAGAAAGAAATATATAGATAAGCTGTGACACAGCACACACAGATCCGAGAGAAATCTCAATGACAGCTCAAGATGGGAATTGGCCGGGTCGGCCCGCTGGGTCGCTGACCCGACCCAAAAATTCAAGGCCGATGGGTCACATGGGTCGGCCTCAATTTTTTTTTGGGTCAGTAGAGCCGACACCAAGTGACCCGTTGGGTCAGCGGGATCGACCCACCTCGTGCTCTCTATTCTCACGACGGCTATTTCTCAATCGTCGCCCTCGCCGATCTCTGCCGTGCCGGTGGTGCTGCCTCCCGCTCATCGTCCCAGTCACGTCCAGCTCATTATCCGGCTCACCGTCAGCCCGTCCACCCTGCGCCGTCCAGCTCTCTAGTGTAAATTTGAGACTAATAGATAGAGCGTCAGTCTGATGTCAACTAGTAGTACTAGCGGTATCCGATGGCTAGATACAATTCACCCGCATGGATGCATCTCTGTACAATGCCTGGAAAGAAACAGACGAGCTTACAATGGTCTAGGTAATGTATGCATGTACAATGAACAGATGCAGCAGCTAGACCACTTGAATCTCCGTATAAATTTTTTCTTCTATCCCTAGATTACTACTCTATAGGATTTTAGCTATCGGCATATCACAAAAAGAAAACACACGTCACTAATAATTTATTTTTTGAGAAAAAACACATGTCACTAATAATTGGGTCGACCCGAAATACCCATCGTGCCAACAAGGCCACTACTATTCACGATATGGGTCGGCCCGTGGCCTCTTATGTTGGCCCTGAGGCCACCAGGGCCAGGTCCAAGGCCAGGGCCGGGCCGACCCATTCCCATCTTGAATGACAGCGGCAGAACTGCCATCATATCTTGTCACAAGAGATGGATAAAGCTCGGTTAATTCATGAAAATCTGGGCAGAAAAATCCCGACAAAGGGATAAACCACATGCAAATTTAACTTGGTCTGGGCCGACTTCAAAGATAGAAGGGAGCTGACTAAACAGATTACAATGCAACACACACTACTGCACGCACAGACAGTACATAGAAATTCATGCTAGCAATGTCGAAGCCTGCTGCAAAGACAGGGAAGCAAAGTAGCATTGAGGATCAGTCATTAGCATGAAAGCACCGAGAGCCGCCTGATCATGGAACTTAAAACAACGAACCCCTGTCTTCCAACCCCGAAGAAGAACCCTATCCTCTCGCCTAGGCTAGAAGGCACCGCACCGTCGGATCGTTGGGCGGTCGTAACCCCAGAGCAGGCAAAGCTAGCGGTCCTCACCACGCCTTAGGCACACATACACCCGCTGCACTCTCACCTTCCCTGGACAACCGAGAGCAGAAGGAAAGCCGTCGGGAGGATCGTCGAAGAAGCAAGCCACATTTGTCTTTCACGTGGGATCAAAATTTTAGGTTGGGCTTTTCTCACATCGGAGAAAACGAGGGGGAATGGAAGAATTTTACTTCCAAAAAATGTTACTCACAAAAATAAAAAATATGGAAGGATCATGGGCTTAAATGTTTATGTGGCCATGGGCCATGGGCTCTCGAACAGTGAAGGCAAAGTGAAATAGTCACGGGCTCTCACTCCACTTCACATCCCACGGACCAGTGTCTCCTGCTAAGTCCGAGTCCACTGCCAGTCCCCACGCGAGCGACCTAGGGCGAGATGAGTAGCCGCCGCCGCCGCCGCCACGCCGGCTCGCCGGCGTCCGCGCCGCTCGACGACGACGACCTCCTCTGCGAGATCCTGCTCCGCCTTCCCCCGGAGCCCTCCTCCCTCCCGCGCGCATCCCTCGTCTGCAAGCGCTGGCGCCGCCTCGTCTCCTACCCCGGCTTCTTCCGCCGCTTCCGCCTCCACCACCGCCGCAACGCTTCCCTCCTCGGCTTCTTCGACAGGTTTAATGGCCTCTCCTTCCTACCCACTCTGGGGGCCCCCAATCGCGTCCCCCACGGGCGCTTCTCTTTCCACTGCGATGACTTCGACAGCTGCTCTATGTCCCTTGGATGTCGCCATGGCCTCATGCTCATCTTCCTTCGTAAGCGTCTCCAGGTCCTGGTGTGGGACCCCGTCACCGGCGACCAGCACCGCATTGCCATTCCCGCAGCGTTTGATACGGAGAAAACCCTTATCAACGGGGCGGTTCTTCGCGCTGCCGGAGATGTCCAACACTTCCAGGTGGTGTTGGTAGCTGCAGATGGCGACGACGAACAACACATACAGGCGCTCGCCTGTGTTTACTCGTCAAAGACCGGCTTATGGGGAAATCTTGTCTCAACACCGATTCCATACCAGGCTTCTGATAGTCCATACCGTATCCCCACCATGGTTAATACAGATGACGCTGTGCTAGCTGGAGATTCCCTTTACTGGAAGCTTACTGGGAATATGGTTGGAATTCTTGAGTTTGATTTGGAAAAGCAGAGTCTAGCTGTGATAAGGATGCCACTGGATATGTATGGCCAGGGCAAGTGCTTCACGGTTATGCGGGCCGAGGGTGGTGGGCTGGGTCTCCTCGTTGTGTCGAACTCTGACTACACCGCCCAGTTATGGAAGAGGAAGATCGATTGTGATGGTGGTGCTTCATGGGGGCTTGCACGAACTATTGAACTGGACAAGCTACTTCCCATAAAACCGGAGGAGAAAGGGCTTCTAGTGATACTAGGGTTTGCTGAGCAGAATAATGTGGTGTTTCTGTGGACAGTTATCGGTGTATTGATGATCCAGCTTGAGTCATTGGAGTTCAAGAATCTTTATAAAACCATGATCTTTTCTTACTACCATCCATTTGAAAGTGTCTACAGTGCAGGTAATAGCATGCCTTTTATTTCGGGTACAACAAAACCAAGTTGTGTTTTGATAATTGGCTGATGCAATTACGTTCACATCATTCTTGTTAAGCCAACAATTTCAGTTAGTTTCATACCAGTGATTTCTTTTGCTGCTTGATGATCTCTTTAATGTATAGCGATGTCTGTTCTGAATACAAGATTGGCAAATTCTTTGTAGGACAATCGAAATAAATTTCGTCATTATCTGCCCATTGATAGATGCAATAATTGTCTAATGGTAGTGCATACCTGCAGTGACATTTTTCCTCTAATGGTACACAAAAGTTGGAAGTTGGCTTTATTCTGTATTGTTGTCTTTGCTGATATTGCTAACAATCTTAAATCCATAATAACCACTTGCTTTGAAAATTATGTATATTATTATTAGCAAGTCCGTTTGTAGAAGGAAAAAAATAATAACCAGAGTTCATTTTCATCTTCTCGTGCTAAATTTATTTGAAGATAATTTTAAAATGACCACTTAAAGATAATTTGCATGGTGTGGGGCAAGCTCAAAATAGCTCCAGATAACTTCTCTGTTCTGAGCAGCTAATACTATGTTTTCTTATTTCATTTTTATAGAATTGATGAGTGTCTGCTGTTCGGGAAAATTCATTAGATTTGACAAGAGATGTTTTTTTTAGTATTGTTGTACCAAGCTGAGTTATTTTTCTTGAATTACAGCTATGGATTTATCTGAAAATCTACTTGATGCCTCCTGGTTTTTGCTTGTCTTTCATGAGGATGTCTTTGTGTCTTTTGCTTCGGGTTGGAGCGTATTGTCTTTTGTCTCTGGTTTCTTGATAGCTTGATATTGTTTACAATAGATAGCTCTCATTATACGAGTTAATAGCAAAGCTTGATAGCATAAGGATAGGGAAAGCACTAAGCCACTAACCATGCTGCGGCGGCCACATACTTTGCCCCACATGACGAATTGTTTGACTTCTTATGCTCGTAGGAACATCTGTTTCTGGTGGACGCGACAGGGCTGAGCTTTTGGTCAATAAATAAGATGATTGTCCGTTGGATATGCTGTTTGATCTACTAATTGAGCAGGTAAGCTTATCTTGTACTCCTATTCTGCACCACCTATCTAGTGGATGTGCCCTTTTGTTTGCCCCTCCATTCCTTCCAGCTTCTTTGCTTTTTGGTTATACCTCGTCCTTAGTACTCCCCAAGTTATTCTGCTACTGTGGGCTCTTCTTCCTCTAGCCCTTTCAGTGACTGATGACTTTGGAGTTTGGACCCTTCCCCATTCCGTATTCGCGCATACGCTTGTGCCCCTCAGATATGGGAATGCTGCCATGCTAAGTACTAGAACACTGTCATGCTAAGTACAAAGTACTAGAAAATGAACCACTAGCCCATTACTTTTCTTTCATGATATATTTCTCCTTTTGTTTTGCTCTCATGACATTGCCTTGACTTTTTTCCATGTGGTTATTGTCTATCATGTCCTAGTGTGATTTGCATGTTGGCCCGTGCATACAAGAATTGATAACTAAAAACACATGAGCATATGGTTTCATAGTTCCTTTATTTATATGGATGTACAGGCATGTCGTTTTGGATTGCTGCTTATTTTGGATTATTGTGATACCTAGTGAACAAATGATTGTGACAATACTTTGAAGGCTGTGGCTTCATTAAATCAAATACTGTTGTTTTCATTTTGCTTGCAGTTATTGTAGTTTCATGGACGATTATTCTGGTGTCGGGATGATTATTCTACTTGTGTTGTTTTGCTGAACATTTTATTAGCATGGCACTTGTTGTCTGCCAATTCGGCCATTAGGCACTATATGTAGTTATGCTTTGTATGCAGTCTAATTTCTTCACTTTTGGCCACATGAATGTTTAATACATAATATAAAACACAAGATCAAAATTACATGACTAGATTCATCATAACAACTGCTTTAGTTACTAATAACTTTTGTTAGTTTTTACTAGTAGTGGTGGAACTGTTGGACCAAAAGAAGTACTCCCTCCGTCTCAAAATATAAGACGTTTTTGTAGGTTATAAAATAGCCTAAAAACGTCTTATATTTTGAGACGGAGGTAGTATCAATTAATAAGATGATACATGATCATGGCTTTAAATAGCCCGCTATAGATCTGCTATAGCGTTTAAAAGAGGTACTGCGCTAAGGGTCTTTTGTCCAAACACATGAGCAAATATTTTAAATAGCTCGCTATAGCACCGCTATAGCATTTAGAAGAGGTCCGCGGCCCGCCGCTAAGAGGCTTAGCGTGCTATTTAAAACTTCGTACATGATCCCTTGCTTCTGGCTTGTAGTGCATATATTTGATGAAATTCTATTTGTTAGTGCCTTATGCCCACTGTAGTGCATATATTTGATGAAATTCTATTTGTTAGTGACTAGTTAAGCTCATGCATTTCTGAAAAGTATGTGTATGAGCTAGAAACCAGATCTTTTTGTGCTTTCCTCCACCATGAGCCGCCTTATGCCCACTGTTCTTTTAAGCTCTATTCAGACCGGTATAGCCAAATACTTGTAATGTTAGAAGCTGAAGGACCAGTATAGCCAAATACTTGTGATGTTAGAAGTTGATGGTGTGGTACTGCCCACTACGCTCCAATTTACCTTATTGTTGTTCTCTGACTCTGTTTAATGTTGAATTGTCTAATAATGCTGAGATGATCTACCTTCAAAACTTTTGGCTGAATTTCCACAATAGTGATGAAGCTCATGTTTACTGTTTTGGGTCTTGCAAAAGTTAGGAGAATAACTCCAGCGGCTTTTTGCGAATAAATAGTAGTGCTAGACAATTGCTTGACTGACGGTGATACTGCTTGCTTCACAGGTATCTAGAGCTACATTCTGGTGACTGAGATGAAGAAGAAATGGGTTGTTGGCTGTTGGCAGGGATCAGGCTCTTGTATTTTGTATGTTGGACCTTCAGATTGACTCTCTATGTAGCATGCACCGGTCTGTACTCTGCTGTGAAGTGCACCTGTAGGAATTAATTGCTTAATTTGACAACCTGCGTCGATTATCTAGTTTCTGTATGCATCAGTCAGCTGGCATGTTGGTTGATGGCACATTTACTTGCTTCGGTTACCCTGCGTTTCATTTAACCTGCTCTATCTATGCTTTTCAAGCAAGCATCTTGTGACGGGCTCCCCTGTAAATTTATCTTGCTTGCATTTTGGTGTGTGCGCATGTGTCTGTTATTTGATTTATTGTGCGTGTTGTTATTTGATTTATTTTGCGTGTTGTATCAGGCGTCTGAGATTTTTGCCAGATTTTGTTGAATTTGTATCTGATTCCGAGCTAAGTATTTAGAGTCTTGGTAGTTGTGATTAGTCTGACTAGGGCATCTCCAATGTGACCCGTAAATTTGCTCTAGCATCCACGGACACAGATGTGGGAGCCGGTCATCTAACATTGTTCGCATACATTTCAACCATTGTTTGAACTAAGTGAATGAAATTCATGCAAAACGGTGGATTTCATTCAAGTCCGGATAGAAAATATCACAAATCAATCATACATATTATGCAAATAAGCCTAATACAATAAAAGTTCAAATTTAACGAGATTAATCGGATGTTCAACAAGTTTTTCATGTCTCACACATACTGTTCCTTCAGCTTTATCCAATGGTACATGTGCATAAATGGCCGCCCCTCTGCCCTGTGATTGTACCTAGCAATGGGCAGCCTGGCCTGACTCGACCTTGCCCATGGGCCGGGCCTGGGCCTAGATTTCGAGCCTGATGGTCAGGCCGGGCCAGGCCTGGGCCCGTCGTATTTGCAGTTTAACGAAGAGGCCTGGCTCGAGGCCCGAGGTTTGACGGGCTTTTTGCATGTTGGGCCGGGCTTGGGCCTGATGGTCAGGCCGGGCCGGGCTCGGGCCTAGGTTTTTCATGTCGGGCTTTGGTAGGCCTGGCCCGGTCCGAGGGATGACCGGGTATACCTGTGATACATCATGGCAGCGCATGCGGGTTATACAATGTGTAGAGCAACATTGAGTGAATGAATGATTCAATCTGTAAGTTGAACAAGAAGAATCAAAACTTACGATATCATTGGCTGCAGCGCGCAATGGTCACCTTGGCTTCAGCATATTAACTGCACCAGAAAACTTGGTAACGCTGGTCTAGATGGCATATCATCGGTACACTAATGCCCTCACATTGCAATCATGGATGATGGGCGTGTCGTACGGCGTCATGTACTTTCGTGCGTGAAATGATTCATGCACTTGCTGCCAGAAGGTCCCACCTCTGCCCCTACCTATCAAATCCACGGATACAGCCAACCACGCATCACACGATAGGTCATCCTTCATGGTCGAGTGGAGTTCCTGGTCGAGTACCCCGCCATCCTTTGTACTCTAAAAATGACATGGTGTTTGAAAATAAGTTCAATGACATTTGAGTATTTGACTGAACACCTACGGGCATGGTGTGCGCCATGGTTGACGTCTACAGGACGGGTCTTGGGTGGATGAGACCGTCGTGAAAGGCGAGCGGGCGGGTCGGTGCTGGTTGCGGAGGTCCAGCAATGCATGTGTGCCAGCCGAAGTGGTACAACGGCGACAACAGGCGAAGGAGTGTGGAGATGCAAAG